CCCCCCCCCCCCCCCTGCCCAGTTGTGATTATATACCACCAAAAGAAAGCTCCATGTATCCCCAAAAAATGTTACCATAAATTGCAAGGCCGATAGTCTGGTCATGCTGACTGGGGAAATTTTTGACTGACTGGTGAGACACCCTAACATTTTTTAAGCCCTGCACATAATAAAATAAAATGCAAACAATAATTCAAAATTAACTGCATAAATTGCATATTTTAGGACAAACGTTTTTAATTCCAGCAGCCATTTCTGTCTCATATCCAAATTCTACATATAACTATACACAAAACCCTGACCCTATGGAAGTAACGCACAGAGTGCAGAGGTCCGAACTAAGGAACGCACAGAGTGCAGGGGTAAGATGTAAACAACGCACAGAGTGCAGGGGTAAGATGTAAGCAACGCACAGAGTGCAAGGGTAAGATGTAAGCAACGCACAGAGTGCAGGGGTGCCAGCGATCGCGTGGCGGGGTGGTAGCTGTGGTGCTATTGACTTCATGGCACCGCCACGCCCCCTCCCATCCCAAAACAAAGTGAGCTGGCCGGGTTGCGTTCCAGAGGCAAAACGCACTGGAACGCACTCTTTATAGTGTGACTGGGCCCTGACAACAGTATTTCTTAAAAAAGGATGATTTTTTTTTTTTGTAGCATGCATTTTCCTTTTTTGAAGAGGGGTGCTTCACTTACCTGATCTCTATGCACCTGCTGCTCCTGCTGCTTCGATGGAACCCGCGGTGGCAGATGGGGGGAGGGGATTTGCAGAGGCCGCGGGCGCCCCATTCTCCCCGCGATGCCCGCAGTGTCAGATGGGGGGAGGGGCGGGATTTACGGAGGCCACGGGCACCCCATTCATCCCCGCGATGCCCACAGTGTCAGATGGGGGAGGGGCGGGGATTGTGCAGAGGCCGCGGGCTCCCCATTCTCCCCGCAAGGAAATTGCAGCTCCCCTCTGCCCAGGGACGGACTCGCCAGTGTCAGGTGCGGATCAATCTGCAAAAATGAGCTAGGCGGCCGCGAGGCCCTCGTGAGCGCAAGGCCTTCGGCGACCGCCTAACTCGCCTAATTAGAGAGCTGCCTCTGCTTGTAGGTCATTGGCTCCTGTCTAAATCCCTAGTATCCCTATATAAGCCCGAGTATGTAATTATGTGAGATTCAGACCTTAGATTGTAAGCTCCTTGAGGGCAGGGACTGATGAGAAGGTACAGCATGTAAAAACTGTTGTCAATATATATATAAATACCAATAAAATAATATGTTTTGGCTTTAGATACATTTTAATAACAGGCCCTAAAATGCTGTGAATTCATTGATTGTTCCATAGACTGCCAAACTAGTCACGTTTCACAATCTAAGTTGTAAGTTGGTGTTTTAATTTCCTCAGAGACATTGGAGGAGTTTTCAGAGTCGCCCACACACAGCAGTAACAATGCTCTCATAATGCAGGTAAGATGTCTTTACAAAGTTGTGGTTTGTATTGCAGTGGATGAGCTTCTTATAGGAAACCTATACTAGGAGATACAAGGAGGCTGTCACTGCTGTGCTGACTTCTCATTTTGCACAGTGCTAGTTGTCTGGCGATGGCAGCTCCAAAATTTCTCTTAGCAAAGGTTTGCTTTAAAAAAAACGTATCCTGTGAGAAATGAAAGGTTGCCAGTGTCAATCACTTTCAGGGTTATTCAGGAGAAGAGAACAATCTAGGCCAACATAGCTGATTTGGAAAAATTATCCAATTCAGATCACTTTCCAAATCAGCTATGTTGGCCTAGATTGTTCACTTCTCCTGCCTTCTCCAAACTCTTCACCCTTTTGTGACTAACCCTTTTTGTCTAGCATCTCGGCTATCACAGAAATGTAATAGCCGAGATGCTAGACAAAAAGATGCTAGACATGTCGCTGACATGGAACAAGTATGAAGATCAGGAGTTTCATCCTCACTCACCCTCATGATCTCACATGTTATAAACTTGTTTTAATCTGTAATCCAAGAAATAGTGATGAGCCTGGGCTTGTTGCAAACCCATTAGCCTGAGTTCGCCCAAGTACGCTGAAAACTATGACTGCCACCCCCTCCTCCCAGCCCAGTCAGTTGCAGGGAGGTGCATTCCCTACCCTGCAGCTCTACACCGCAAAGGGGTGGGAAATGTTCTCCCCCAAACTGCCACCTATACCTGGGCCAGAAGGGGGAAGTAGTGGTCACAGTTTTGAACATACTTGGGCGGACTCATGTGCGTTGGTTTGGTGTGATCGGAGTTCAGGCCAAGGACTGGTAAGCTAATATATTACATTTTTGTACTTGGATTTAGTTTTATTTTCCCATATGCATAGCCACCTTCAAAATGTTTAACTGATGCAAAAGCATTAGGAAAATCCTATAAAAGGTATTGCATCTGCCTGATCCAACCAGTCATTGCAGAGTCAGGGGGTCTCCGATAGGAACGTCCACTGTCACAGACCCCTCCCTCATAGCTGTCAGCCTTTTAATATAATTCCTGGGAGGCTTTGATGTTTGCTGCTGAGCTAATGAGTTAAAGCCCATCATCCACACAACTGTCTTGAAAGGCTTGAGTCACTATATAATCGGCTGTGACATGTTTTTAAATTGGAATACAAATACTTGTATGTTAAATGCTGCTTTATGGTAATGGTAATTAAAATCAAGGCTGCTTTGCATACATACCCATATTGTGAGTGCCAAAGTTTGAAAATAATTTCCAGTGACACATTGCTCCTGTGTTGGTGTATCTTAGCTTGTCATGCATACTGATGCCACCCAGAACCACAGAACACTACAGCAACTTAGTAGTTAGCAGTTATGTCTTACGGTGTTCGGGTCCTTGGTTCAAATTTGAGCAAGGACACCATCTGCATGGAGTTTGCATGGTCTCCCTGTGCTTGTATGGCTTTCCTCCCACACTCTATAGACATGCTGATAGGTTAATTGGCTCCTGTCTAGAATTAGTCCTAGTATGATATTCTGCTGAGTGTTCCCAACATGGCTGCCCCAACACCAATTTGTTATGCACTATGAGTCCTTTGGGAGAAAAGCGCTACAGAAACAAATTAATAATTAATGCTATATACTCAGAGGGTATGTGCAGAATTTTCTAAAAGCTGAACTCCAGGGAGATATAAACAGCAATTAACACAGTTTTGCATCAATAAAAAAAAAAAAAATACATGTAACTAGTTTAAGTACTTAAATTCATCCTGATATTAGCTGCCCATTATCTGCTCAGATTAGGACAAGTACTGCCATCTGTAGGAACAATCACTGTATGCTTTAGTACACAAGTGATGACAGTGAACATGTGGGAAGAGGAGAGAGCAGAGTGATGAATCAATAGCATCCTGCAGCTCCTTCAAAAGCTTAAAAGAGAACTATGGGGTAAGTGTTTTCCCCCATAGTTCTCTTAAGGGTCACGGGAGGACATATACTGGCATCCTCCCATGACCCAAAGCTCAGTATATCGCGAGCTACAGCTCGCTGTATACTGAGACCGCCGCAGCCGGGACGGATCCCCACAATGCTATCGAGATCCACACAGCTACGTCAGTGACAGCTGCTCTGCCTATCTAGAGGCAGAGCCAGCTGTACCCGCCCCCTCCCCTGTCTGTTCTTCCAGTCAGTCCTGGAGGATCAGAGCGGGGAGGGAGGGAATCCCTGAAGGGAGCCTTGACTGACAGTCACCACTCTCTGCAGGGAGATGATCGAGAAGTGAGCGAGCGACGGTATGTGTTTGCTCACTTCCCGATCTATTGAGCTGATGTCGGCTCGAACTATGAGGATGCGTGATTTTCACTCACCTCATAGTTCTCCTTTAATCAGCGAGCAATGGGTGCGTTCTTGACAAAATTGTGCTGATCCTGTACTAAAGGTGTAGGACATAAATGTTCTTGGTCCCATACTCTGGTTTGCTCTGTGGAGATGCTTACAATGGAGATGGTACTAAACAGGTGTGAACAATAAACCCAGTGGCTAACTGGCCACTGTGATAATGATTCTTCCCAAGCACATTCTTGGTATTCATCTCTCCAAAGATCAATCAGTGACACTGCTCAGCTAGCCTTTGATAGCTGGTTTATCACTTCTATGTGCCCGAATCTGCACTTTGTTCATCCCAAAGGCATATGCCAATTTTACATCAAGGTTGAATGGAAATTAATTCTACCAGCTCACACACCCCCCTAAGAAGCAATTAGGATTAACCCTAATTTACATCCTGAAGACAAAATACAAGTTAATAATATCACAGTTGCCAGCGTTTTAAAATGCATTCCTGGGATGTTTTGCTGGGATCATAAGAATTCAAAACCATATCCATAGTTAGAACACCTTTTATTGCACCTTTGGTTGCACTTTTCAATACCGATTTTGTTATAAACACAACTCGAATGTAATCGTACTGTCAGATAATAAAATGATATACGTTATCTTGTGCGTACTAAAATATGCTCAGTTTCCAGAGCTAAATATTTTATACACAGCTTTAAAGTGTATTTCCACTTATGTAGCCAAATTGAGGTAACATCTACTTTGTATTTCTTACATGTTCCCATTCACATTGCATTACTTAAAGTGGCATTAACGGCTAAAACTTTTTTCCCTCCCTCCAATGTTAATTAAAGCACTTACCTTAAATGATGTCTCTTAATCCGATCTTCTTCTTCTTTCCTGTCCTTTACAGCCTTCTCTCCAGCGCTGCTGCGGGTCTTTGATCCAGCACTGACACCTCTGTTCTTGCTGGCACTTCCTGTCCCACGTTGTCTGAGGGTGACACTAAAACATTGCTGCATTGCTAAACTCAGTAATTAAATCTTAAAAATGCATTCCAGTACCCAAACTATTAACAAAAATGTATCTTATTTGTGTATCACTCAGCTATAGCTCTTAAAATCTTCTCTGAATTGGTGCTGGCACTGTCCTTCCTTCTGGAGGGTGACAACTTTTGTTACCCATGGGTCCCTGTGTGTTGTAAAGTAGCCACTGCTCCAAGCTTGCTCCTCTGATGGACTGCAATCTCATGTTTAGTTTACTAATTTGTATTGAGATGGAAGTCCATCACGGGAGCGAGCTTGGAGCGGTGGCTACTTTACAATACACAGGGACCCATGGGGAACAAAAGTAGCCACCCTCTAGAAGGAAGGACAGTGTCAGCACCAATTCAGAGATGATTTGAAGATCTACAGCCGAGTGATACACAAATAAGATACATTTTTGTTAATAGTACTAGTTTTACTTGAATGCATTTTTAAGATTTAACTCCTGCATTTAGTGTCACTGTAAAGATTTCAGGGCTTGTGTTCAGCATTGATTTTTAATGAGTGGAAACACACTCTGTTCCCACTTTGTCCCCCTCCACTTTCAAATTGTTTAGAATAGCATGCTCTGCCCAAAGGCCTGCTTCTAAGAAACATCTAAATCAGTGGTTCTCAACCTACGTAACATCAGTACCCACATTTGTCCTTGTCCATTAAGTCACGACCCAAGTTGCACTGCAATGGAACGCACGGCATTGCGGTACAGCTCATTACGATGCGGGCGATCAAACTGTGGGAGGGAGGTGTGTTTGGGGGAGCCATTCATTTGAATGGCAACGCAACAGACCTCCCGCACCAGAATGTGAGATTAACACACTGTACTAGTGTGAACGGGCCCTCAAAAACACAGACACACAATCTCACACACTCACAGACATTTACACATACACATTTTTAAAGATCCACCTAGCCTCCCTACCTTACGAGCACTGGAGTGGATCCTCAGCCTGGGGTCCAGGGTGGGCAACTGTGCTATGACAGAGCTCCATCCATATGAACATTGCTTGTACAGCTCCCTTGCATATGTGCTGGGAGCCAGAATATTACATCACTCCTGTCCAGGCACCTCTAAAGGGCATGCAATAGAGCTGTAAGCAATGCACGTTTGGATGGAGCTCCCTTGCGGCCATACCCCCAACCCACCCCACCTCAAGTTGACACTGAATGGCTGCTTGGCGGGAGAACTGATGGTGCTGTTCTAGGGGGAGGCTGAGGAGCCTCTCACCTAGAAAAGTGGAAGGCACACGGCGACCCACTGAACATGGGAATGTCCATGAGCCCATCGCACTCCTGACCACTCAGTCCAATGAAAGAAGCTGGGTGCACGGTGATCAACGGGTGGCAGCCATGACGAAATTTTGAAAATCAGGGATACTGGCACTCCAGTAGTAATGCAAAACAACGTCTATTTAATGACGTGGCAACATATCACACAAGATGCAACAAACGTTTAGGGATCACACAGGATCCCCTTCCTCAGGCAAAAGACATGTGAGGTTCAGTGGAACGTCCAGTTCCACTGAACATGGGGTCGCGACCCACTTTTTGGTCACGGCCCACCAGTTAAGAACCAAGGATCTAAATGATAGGCAATATATTTATTATATTTTTAGGTAGGCTGTGTATATTGGATCATATAAAAAACCTTTGGTGAGATTTTTCTAAAATTTGACTGCAAAAGTGGAAATACACTTTAAGTCCTGGAGGTTAGAGGTTAGAAGCAATAGGTGGTAGTATTTTAATCTATATTATTACTAATTCCAGCTGTTGTAGATCTGTGCTTCCCAGAAAGGCAGAATGTGTGTACTGTAAACACACAGTCACTATACTCTATGTTGCAAAACCTGCACTCATAGGGTTAATCCTTGTTTAGTGTACTTAATGATGATGTTGTTACTGAACTTTGACACTCTGAGGTGCCCATCAATTCCTTGAGAGAAGCAGTGTCACCCTCTGCAGCCCCAGTTGCTATAGCTCTGACCCTGCTCCCTTCATCCTCCACATGTTCCCCTCTGCCATGGACTATGAGAAGCGTGAGCTAATATATTCTCTTTAAACTGCTGAGAGCGATTTCTTCCTTTCATCAGCCCACATAAGTATCCTCCAACTGCATTTTAGCAGTGGCTGAATAGGTGCCAAGGAGGGTGCTTAAAGGAGAACTATTGGGTCAGTGTTTTTCCCCATAGTTCTCCTTAGGGTAACGGGAGGACACAAACCAACGTCCTCCCGTTACCCTAAGCCCAGTATACTGAGACGCCGCACCTGGAGCGGATCCCGACTTAGATGACGGGATCCGCCCAGCTGCGTGAGTGACAGCTGGCTCTGCCTACCTAGAGGCAGAGCCAGCTGTACCCGCCCCCTCCCCCGTCCGTTCTGCCAGTCAGCGCTGGCAGATCGGAGCGGGGAGAGGAGAAACCAACCCCTTCCCCTGTCACGGCAGAGAGCCGTGACAGGATCGAGAGGTGAGGGAACCCAGTATGTGTTCCCTCACCTCCCGATCTACTGAGCCGACCTGTGACAGTCTCATTGTCACAGGTCGGCTTAGAACTATGAGGTGAGTGGAAATCACTCATCTCATAGTTCTCCTTTAATGTCTTTTTTTTTTTAGAATTGAGCAAGGGGGCAATGAGGGCAATGTGGAGGATGATGGAAGAGGAGGAAACATAAGGAAAACATCAATTTGCCCTAGTCAGCCAATCATGTAAAGAGTGTGGTCACCAAACTCCAGGAGGTCCATGGGTAGATATTATGTCAGAGCAGTCTCCAGCAGCTACTAGCAATCTACTAGCTTGGAGAAGGAAAAGAGGGAGAAGGGAGAAGCAGGGATTAGGGGAGCGACCTGCCTTGCCGTTCTTGTTTTTTTTGTGGAGACACACACAGCTTACTAGTAGACAAGTGTGGCTCCAAAGAACCCCACAAGGGAAAGGAACCAACCTAAAGCAGGATATCAAGGCCATTGCTCAGGGGAGCAGCTGATTCTGCAGGAAATTAAACTTTGAAATATCAAGGAGCAACATCCATTGTAAGTGATTTAACGCCTTCATGACCGACCGTTCAGGTCTGAAAATTACTTAAAACCCCAAAACATTATATGTTTTCTGAAAGCCAAGACCCTATAGGATAAAATGGTGGCAGTTACAAATGTTTATGTCGCACAATATTAGTGCAACTGCTTATCAAACCCCAACATTTTGTGAAAAATGCACTTAAATGCCCCAAAACACAATAACATACCCATTTGTTTTATGAAATATAAAAGATGAGGTTAAAACGAGTAAATAGATACCCAACATGCCTAGGCTAAAAATTGTGTGCGTCCGTGAAACTGCAACAAAATTCAGTACCCCAAAAAGTCCATAGACAATGCTTTAAAAGCCCCCACAGGTCATCAGTTTAGAGATACGCGTAAATATTGGCCCTATAATTATTGCTCTCGCTCCGGCGTGCACGGCGATACCCAACATGTGTAGCGCGATCGTCGTTTTTATATTTTATCAGTTTTTGTTATAGAAGCCAGCTATTGTTTAGGTTGAGCGCTCCTATCATTTTGCTTGCATAGTCTCCATCTTTTAATGTATAAAGTTTTTGCGGGGGCCGGGCAAACCTCAGTTCAGCGTCTATTGAATTTTCATGAGTATGTTGAAGCGGTCTGTGGGAGAAACAATTGCTGAAGGCCACTCTAGCACAACAAAATAAGAGCCACCACTGGATTTGTGTCTGTTACTTAGGTATACAAAGGGAAACTAGTATGATGGCTTAAAATGAAATGAATAGTCCTCTTTATGTAACCTTCACAGAAATGAATGGAAGCAGTGCTCATGTAAGTACTTATTTAGCTGTGTAAAACAAGTAGCCATGGCCTTGATAACTTGCTTGAAAAGAAACAATACGGGAATTATCATTTGTTTCTATCAAAATGTTTAAAAATTCAAAGATATATAACATCTCCAGGTTAAAAAATGTGATCCAGCTTTCCCATCTTTATAATATCCATTATACCGTTAATGCTAGACACATTTAAAAGGGACATGTTTTGGGTTATTCACTAGAACTGGAGTTATAGAAAGGTGCTGATAAATGACCACAGAAACCAATTACAAAAGAACACACACACACAAAAAAAGAAAGAAAGAATCTCATTGGTTGCTATAGCGAATTCAGAAAATGTCTAACACATATGCCTATTCCTAACACCTACTGTAGATGGTAAATAATGAAAAATTTAATTGGAAGTATACTGCTTTAAGAATAAAAACAAGTTGGGCCCCTTGGAGCTTTTTGCTCAATGTGCAAGTATGCAATGGTACACTTACCTTGTATTGGTCTGTAGTAGTCCTTAGCAGCGTGTGATAAGTGCTGCGATGTCTGCACTGCCCTCCATCATCGGCACTTCCATTTCTACCTGGCCTTCTTCTAGGTTTAGAGTATGTGGCCATTTTGATTGGCCAGGCCACTGTGACATAACTGCCATGCATGTGTATTGAAGTTACTTTGTCCTGGCACAGAATTGTGCCGAGCACATGAACATTGCAGCAAAACTGATTGGCTCCTTGTGCTGCTTCTCCATCAATCAATCTGAGCTCTGCTATACTTGGATTGCAAGAGTAGATAACAAGACAAATTTGGGCACTGGTCCCACGTGCATTGAAAACAATACATTTATTGATGTATTAATAAATACAGAGCTGCAATCATTGTGTCTTGTACACCTGCCAGCAGTTTCTGCCGTTCATGGATAGTACTTTGCACAGAGATCATATTAATCCCCCTGGCAGTACTTGCATCTGCTTTTTTCACCAGAAGAACAGAGCCATCTTTTCATCTTTTATCTCTACCATAGTCACAAACAGTGCTGTAGCTTTAGAAGTAGGGGTAGCAATACGAACTTTGGACAAAGTCCCCTAGCACTCTTAATAACCCTTCTCCCTTATGTCGCAGTAAATCCCTTATGGTTAGTACAGAGCAGAATATGGGGAATGTACTGTGTCCTATGATATCTCTTTAGAGTGGGGCAATCTGAAACAGGACCAGCACATGGTAGCCTTGTGAGCAAATGTGGCTTTAAATGAGCCATCAAACAATATTATTACTGGAAATGATGACTGCTATATGCCATGGTAAGTGTGCCCTTTCTTACATTTTGTAGGATGCACTTATGTTCAGGAGAGTAAGCACAGTATCTGAGGCATCCACAATCTCTGTTGAAGATGACAACGGCGAGGAAAGATCTAATGATGAAGCTCTGGAGCAGAAACCCGAAGAAAAAAAGGTGATCTCTCTCTATATAGATGTATTTCTTCTTCTGGTATATTTCATGTATCCATATAAAAGTATAAATTAAAGTTCCATCGGCCTCTACTCACTCCCTTTAGCTACTTGTGCTTTTGGCTAAATTAACATTGATTCTTTTCTCCCAGGAGTTTGTCTTTGTTCTGTACATAGCATAGTGCTTGTGATTAAATTTTAAATAGCCTTGTGTACATCACAATACACGCAAGCATCAACACCATGAGGTGAGATACAAGCTGGATAAATCTTTAAATTCATCTGTAATGTTTTATGTTAAATGGAATTGGTGCTTTTATTCTAAACAAGCTCATAGGGAATCATTAATCCCAGACTTTAAACTGAGAATGAAACATGAACTACCAGCTACAGACGTATTGCTTTTTTTTTTGCGAATGAAATGCTTTTGATTGCCAGCAGACATCGGTGTACATTCCCACCTTCTATGTGTCTTTATTTGCCATTCCAAAGTAGCATTGATAGACGCACTTTATCTTTATACTTGAAATCTTAAAATTATGCAGGGAACTAATTACCCAATAAAATACTACATTGCCAAACCATGACGAATAAGAGAAAATACATGTGTTGATTCGCAGAAAAGAAAACCATATCAGATCAAAGTAATTATGGCAAAATATCCTTCTGTCGACTGATCCTGGTCAACCAATGTCCCCAATGTATTACATTTTATTTTTATTTGTAATTCTTTATTTATAAGGTAATGGGACGCAATGACATACAGCAAAGATGAGAATTCCTTACAGAATCAGTCAAGTAGTATTAGAGTGGAGCACTTTTTAATAGCTATACCTACATCCCCCTCCAAACTAGGAGGTTATCTTTAAAGATGGGCAAGTGTAGTAGCTATTATGGGTGTTGGAACAGAAAAATGGGAAAGGAGGACTGAGAAAGAAGAGAAAGAGAGAAGATGTGAGAGGGGAAAAAAAAGTAGGTGGGTGGCAGATGAAGGAGCCGAGGGGGGAGGTTTAAGGAACAAGTCTGATCATATTTTTATAAAGAGTGGCCCAATTTGCAGGTAATAAAGTCTTGATCCACCAAGGCTCCTTGGATCAGTATACATACCTTATATTCATAAGTAGCATATTTTATATATCCATTTGAAACATTTAGGGGGTTATTCACTATTGAGCCGAAGGATACAGCTGTAGCTTCGGCTGATCCTTCGGCTCTCTTTGGCTGCCGGAGCCCTTTGGTTCAGTCGAACTGAAGGGCTTCTGTAGGGGCTATTCACAATAGCCCCTACAGCAGTCCGAAGGCAGGCGAGCGGCTCAGCCGAGCAGAAGGCATATGCTCGGCTGAGCCGAAGTGACAGCCGAAGCGGGGAGAACGGCCTGCCGAATGAGAGCTAGGCAGAGCCAGTTGTAATGACAAATCAGCTTCCCCAAATGCCCTGGGGACGCTGATCTGTCATTAAACAATAAGAACTGGGCGGAGTCGACCGTGACGTCAGCCAGTTGTTATTCATTGGCCGGGACCTGCTAGAAGACTCTTCTGTCACTGCTAGCTCCGCCCAATTGTTTTTCTTTTTTTTATTCTTTAAAATATCTTTTTAAATTAAAAAAATTATATCTATTTATTTTTTACTTTTCCTATTTTTGATCATTTTAAAATTCTTTTTCAAGCTTTTTTTCTTTTTACGCTCTTTTCACTTAGTTTCTATTGTGCTCGGTACCTGAGCAGAATAGCCGAGCCGAATACCGCTTGGCAGCATTCGGCTATTCACTCACTGTTGTTCGGCCCCTGTGAGAATAGGGGCGAACGGCAGCAAGTGAGCTGCCGGAGCTGCGGCTCAGCCGATCCAGACGTTAGATTGGCTGAGTCGAAGTCCCTCTGCACTTCGCCTCAGCCGAACATGCAGAGCATATTCGGCTGACCAAAGGCAGCCGTACATGGCTGATGTACAGCTGATTTCAGCCGATGTACGGCTGAAAGTCATTCAGCTCTGTTCACTTTGCCTCGGTTATTCACTCGACTGCCTTTGGCAGCTTTGTGAATAACCCTGTTAGAAGTAACTCTATGACTAATTTGCCTACCTTTGTCATTTTTACGTGGTTTAAAGGGCATATAACACTTTTATTTAGTACACTGGTTTGATAAACATTCTGATCATGTTTTCTTTAAAGTGACACTAAACTCAAGAGTTAAATCTTAAAAATGCAACGTGTTTGTGTATCACTCAGCTGTAGATCATCCAATCATCTCTGAATTGGTGCTGCCACTGTCCTTCCTTCTGGAGGGTGGCTACTTTAGTTCCCCATGGAACAAAGTAGCCACTGTGCCAAGCTCAGTTTCATGATGGACTACAATCTCACGTTTAGTTTATTAACTTGTCCTGAGTTTAGTGTCACTTTAATGTAAGCTAACAAATGGACAAAATTGTGGGAAAATGCATATTTACACAGGACCGTTTTTAGTAGTTTAATTTTTTTACACAACATAACATAATATTTTGTAACGCTATAGCTCTTTCTCTGTGCTCAGCTAAAGCTGCTGTGTAGAGAGAGAAGTACATAGTGACATCTTCAGGAAACTTTGGATAAATATTCTAGTGAACACCATGACTGGCTCACATGGTGATCACATGATAACCTTAATAACTGGTTCCTGATAATTAATCCGACACCTGCAACTATGAGAGCATGCTTACAGAAATAGCTATGCACACAGGGGCACAATGGTAGTTCACAGCTGCAACTTAAATGAATGTTCTCACGACATGGGGAGTGCCTGAGAACATTAATTTACAGATTACAGAAGCCTAGGGGTTAGGACTCTTTGTCCAAACACTATAGTTTTCCTTCTCCACACATATTCAATTCCCTGACATCATTTTTGTGTAATGGTGACCACATATCAAGTAATACTTAGTATAGGGTCAAGTAATGTATCTATTTCTCTTTTTTTGTGTCTAGGCCTGTAAGTACAAGATACTTCTTGCTAGCTGCAAAAGCTGCAGATTGGCATTGCATGCTGTTTTTAAGTCTATCATGTAGCAGGATACTGAGAGCTTTCCTCCTCTCACACTGAACTTTCTGGATAATTGAATAAAGTCTAATGAAGTGAACTGAAGTCAATTGAACATGTACAGTATTTACTTCAATCATCAGAATATGAACAAGGGATTGTCTGCACAGGATTGGATTATGCCTAGGTTCATTTCACTTTATAAACCTTTGTTTCATTTGAAGCATCCAATAAATATATTCACCATAATAACGTCATGTAAATGATGACTCAGATTCCAGTTAACCTGACAGTTGGCGAGAACTTTTGGTAATTCACATCAAGGGACACAAATTAGATTTCTGACATTAACAAAAATTTTAATGTTTTATATGTCACTCTTAATATTATCTTAATGAAGGTTAAGTTTCATCTTTATTAATCCTATTTGAACTGGCATTTGAAGAGGTTTCAAGGGATTATGGGCAATGTCAAATAAGTGCTTCAGAGCAGCGAATGAAAGTGCAGGTGGAGGAGAACTCATCTCTTTACCATGTTAAATGAAGAATTATCAGGTTACTGTGATTTTGTAATTCCTTAGTCTGTGAAGCTACAGGTGGCCCATACAGCCTTATTTAAAAGAACACTCCAACAAGAAAAGAGTTTTTGGTTTCCGTAGATTAGAACAATCTTTGATCTCAAGCCAAACCTTTACTGCTGTCTGGGACCCCCAACAGGTAGATCCTCAGACAGAGATCATAGGTGTCTGTTTAAAAGTCCACAATCCCTAACAATGTTGTATTCTGGTAATTGTATGGAGTTATTTACTGTTGGGGTCCTTTACTGTTGTCTGGGACCCCAACAGGTAGATCATCAGACCGAGATCATAATTGTCTGTTTAAAAGTCCACAATGTCTAACAATGTCGTATTCTGGTAATTGCATGGAGTTATTTCATATAATAATGGTATTCAATTTATGACTTCCCTATTTCACATGCCTGTTTATATTTTACTCTGCCATGGGTACTTGAGAAGTCACAGTTATAGGTAAAAAAAAAAATCCCTAGCCTATGTTAAAGCTGAACTCCGAGATAAGCAAATATTGTCTAAATGCAAAAGCCATGTGTATTCCTACTTGAATCTAGGTGTGCTTTGTGTATTTCATCCAGATCTGGGAAGTAATCTGTGAACACAGTCCTCTGTGCAAGAATTTCCTGTAATACAGACCGGTCACTGCTACTCTTTCTCCTTGTGCAGGGTGACTGGTCTTGTCTCCGCCCCCTCCTGTTATTTGCTGCAGGCAGCCTGTAGTGGGTGGGGCCTGCTGGGTCACTCCCACAGCTCTGCTTTCTGCACTGGCTATGTGCAGCACAGTGATGATACCTCTGGATATAACTGGGTTTGCAAAGTCATTTGGTGCACACAAAGGGGACTTATAACCATTGTGACTGTGAATATATTTAAATGAAAGTTTTTGTGCCTGGGGTTCAATTTAATAAAAGGTAACCTTTATTATCACCCCTGGCAGTGTTATAGTTTGTCCCAACCCCCGTCACTGTCATGTTTGGGGAACAGCTTGGCAGGCAAATATGGAGAATATATAAATAAGGACCTATACTAACATGTATTAACTACATCCAGTTACTACCTCAGAATATGATATTTTTCGAAACGGTGGCCCTCTAACATGGTATTATGTTTGGATGGCAGTAAAGGCTAATATTGGAGTAAGACAACTACACTGAAGACAAATAAATCTATTTTCGATGGAACTGCACTTTAGCAATGACATCCAAAAATCAATTATAATTAATTAAAAGTAGTAGCCCATAGCAGCAACAGATTTCAGTTTTCATCCACTTAGGGCAGGTTCACACCATTTTCCGGTCCAGATCTGGTCCGGAAAATGGTGTGAACCTGCCTGCAGTTCCAGTGCATTCCAGATCAGACAAAATGAAACATGCAGTATTTTTCTGGTCTGGTCTGGAACAGACTGCGCTGGTGTGAACAGAGGCCAGAACTAGCATAGGGATACATTAGGATGCATTTTGGGTCCAGAAACAATCTGGTCTGGACTGGAGATGATCTGGATGTGGTGTGAATGGGCCCTCAGAGCAGAGAAAGGAATAAAAAAATGAATGTTAATTTGTTGTTGTGGGTTACTCCACTCCCCTCAGTGCTGCTTGCTGGTGTTTTGATCAGCTGTATCTATTTAGCAGCTAAGTAGATAAAATGAATACCTCTGCTGTGTTCTGATACATTAACATTAAGTTAATTTCCAATGAAGAGAGAGATTAACGGACTGCGCTTGTGTGAACAGAGGCCGGAACTAGCATAGGGATACATTAGGATGCTACTATGTAACTATGTAACTATCTTGGGTCCGGAAACAATCTGGTCTGGACTGGAGATGATCTGGATGTGGTGTGAATAGGCCCTCAGAGCAGAGAAAGGAATACAAAAAATTAATGTTAATTTGCTGTTGTGGGTTACTCCACTCCCCTCAGTGCCATTTGCTGGTATTTTGATCAGCTGCATCTATTTAGCAGCTAAGTAGATACAATTAATGACTCTGCTGTGTTCTGATACATTAACATTAAGTTAATTTCCAATGAAGAGAGAGATTAATTTGTATTATCACACAGGGCTCTACATTTGGATGGTTTAGCTGGTTTCGTTCCGGGCCGACCAAAGAGATTCAAGTTCCACCAAGGAATCCACAAACTACAAATTCTTCATATCAGGTAAAATCGTAGCCTTGAAGTTGGAGAAGGCAGGGGAATGCAAAAAGAGATCCTGGAGGAGCAGAACCGAGGCTCAGCAGGATCAGTATTGGATCACTGTGCGGGAGCTTTTTGTCACACTTCTGCTCACATAGAACTGAAGGCCATGTCCATGTGCCATCCAGGGTCTTTGATTAATAGCAAGCAGGAGCTGTTGCTCAGAAACTCTACTTATGGTCTACTTTACCCATAGCCCTTGCAGCTCCAAGCTCAGCTAGAATGATAGCGGTCATGTAACCGTTATAAAATAAGTCACAAAAAGGTATTTAGGTGCTTTATTTCTTATGTGACTATGGAGACATTATATAAGTTATAAGGATGTGGATGGTTGGTTTATTTAGCTAGGCTTTACATAAACTTTAAAGCTAAGCTCTAGATAAACATCGAATACATAGGTAAAATACATTTTAAGGGCTGTTTTACCTCCCAAAGGGTTTGCATTACTGTCCATTCAGTCCTGAGTTTTAAACATCCCTACAGAGTAGGTGCATGACACCACTCACCCTGTTAAAATCAAGGAATACTGTGGAGTCATCTCCCACCCCAAGCCTGCTGAATGAACAGTGAAGGAGCAGCAGGAGACTGATGAGGTCATCCCTAAGCTTACTCTGCTCTCTTCTCTTATCAGCTTGTTCCTTGTCACCAAATTTGCCTGCTGCTTACCTAATTACCTAATTGGCTCCCAGTACTGCCCCTACCTCTTCCAGTCTACATGCTACCCTGCATACGATAAAAATAGTCTTATATCAAGTCTAATTCAGATACATATGCTGGTTGCATTTAAAAAATAGGAATAATGATTTATTAATGAATACCTAGATGTATTATTCTCTGTCTTTTATATCTGCCTGGAGACCAGCTTTAAGAATGAAAGACTGTACCACTATGTACTCTCAGAGTACATCAGCTGCGTAACACAACCAAAAATACATTACTTTATGACCCCCAAGAATATGTGATAGTGGCATACTATTGTGTGTGTTTGTTGGCACTCCATTCTACTTTAAAGAGTAACTCCACTTTCAAAACATAAAAATGAAAACAAATCTTTAAAAAATAATATGGCATATATCATTGTTGCACAAACTATTTTGTAATCTAATGTTATTAAAAATTACCTTTCCATTTAAAACTGTAGCTGTTGTAATGTTCTAAAACTGCTACAGAAATTCAATGCAATATGGTGACCTGGGGGGGAGACATTTTCACCCCGGGGACAATACTTGAAACATATGTTAGGCTGGTAGCCCTAAGCAGCGATGCTTCAGACATCACTTAGAGCGGGACTGACCATGTTTCATGTTACACCTAGGAATATGGGTATGCCATGAAGCATAGACAGAAAGGTAAACTTAGCCTTTAAAATAGGTATCATTCCTTTTCTTGGAACAAGATTATCAGCTGGTTTACTTTCCTCCCCCCTCATATTTTTCCCATCAAGCTTTCTCTTACTTATTGTTAAAGGTAATGTATTGGATTACAAATGTTCAGAGAATAATGAATAGACCTAGCCCATTAATTTATGTGGCGCCAGTTGTCACTGTGTACGGGAAAAATAGTGATGATCTATATGACACTAATAGTTACTTTATTATAAGATTAATTAGAGGTTATTATTTTTCAGTGATTGCATTATACCTTGCAGTCCTTGCATTTTCATTGATTCATTAGCATCTTCTGAATAGGGTTTCGCCTTCACTGCCCCTTAATATCATTATACAGCATATATAACTGCATCTACAGGATCTTCCTGTAGTCTCATGTAGTTGATCTACATCTCTACACATATGTCATTTTTCTCTCCTCTATTTATTCAGGCTGATTCTCCACCAAGAGATGGCAACACATTTCCTCCTCCAACTTCTGGTTACTTGCCTCAAGACAACCCAATGAATCCTTCCTCCCAAGGTACTACTTTATGTTATATAGGCTGTAACCTATAATCTTTTCATAGCCATCTTCTTCCAAAACATGTATTTCATTTTTGGGTGGGCACTGGATTACATTCTTTTATCACCTATATAGTACACGGAATAAAAACTCTTTCAGTCCAAAACAATCAATATGAAGAGATGAAGTCGATCAGTGCATTCAGTGATTAGTATCAGGCACAAAAAAGTGCAAATGAAAGTTTCTTTATAGTAGGGCTGTTACTGATTAAAAATGTTCGTGTTCGATTAATCAACATTTTTTAAAATTGATTAATCGATTAATTTCGATTAATTAAATAATTGAGTGCACTTTTTTTTTTAACCAATTGATTAGCTAGTTAATAGCAGGACCAGACACTTGTTTGGTGCAAAAATCATGCAGTCCTTTTAAAATCTATGAGGTCAAGAACTGCCCTAGAAGCTCATGTACCTATTCCATCTTCAAGCTACAATGGATATAATGCTTAGGTGTGAATTGGCACCACTGAACATATTGGGATTCTTCTTGTTGAGCGTCATTGTGCTTCAGGAAACATTCAACAAAACGGTGAGGTGTGCGGCAGGGGCAGAGAGCACAGGGGGTACCTGCTGCCCCGAGTACAGGTTATTTCATGATATGGAGCGTAAGGCATCTGCAGCGGAGGGGGCAGCTATTTAAGCAGACCTGAATGGATTCAAACGACAGGTTCTCTTTAATGATTCGAACCTTGGTTTCTAACACCAGCTGTACTCTATGCAGATTAATGGAAGTTGTTTTTCTTTTGTTTGTTTGTTTCAACCCCCATGTTGTGAGTCTCCGTAGAGAGGCCCCTGTGTTGTAGAGAGGCCCCCGTATTGTGAGTCTCCGTACAGAGGCCCCTGGAAAGAGGAAAGGGGGGGAGGAGTCTGGTGACGTCACGGGCATCGACGTCAGCGGACTCCTCCCCCCTTATTTATCTTAACATTCTTATATCACTCAGCAATAAGCTTTCCTCACATTATTTTTTTCTGTCCACTCCTGTGCTCAACACCACAAGTCTGGATGCCCTAATCATTCAATGTTTTCCATAATTTGGCTTTGTATTGGCCACAACATTTCATATCTACTAGGAGTTCTGGTTAGGGTATCTTGCTAATATACCGAAGCTAGCAAGTGATTTATCTTATCATTAACCACACAAATAAGCTATATAGTTAAAAGTATGTGGACTCCTAACCCTGAAACATATCCAAGCTTGTCGTACGTCCCTTTTTAATATGATGTTGCCCACCCCCTCCCTTTGCAGCCATAACAGCCTCCACTCCTCCAGGAAAGCTTTCCACAAAATTTTGGAGTGTGTTTGTGGGGATTTGTGCCCATTCAGGTAACAGAACATTTGTGAGGTCAGGTACTGATGTTAGATGGGAAGAACTGGCTCGCAATTGCCATCTCAATTCATCCAAAGGTATTCGGTAAGGTTAGGGTCATAGCCCAGGCTATTCAAGATCCTCCACACCAGACTTGTCAAACCATGTCTTTATGGACTTGAATTTGTATATCTGAATTGTTGTAAAGAGATAAGCTGGTAAACCCAGGTACTACATCAGCCAATGCACAGGAATATGATAATACAAATAAGAAATCAGATTTTGAGGTAGCAAATCGCCACAGAATGTATAACAAACACTTTTTTATTTATTACAAATAACCTAAAAACCGCATGAGATCATATATAGCAAAATCATTTTTTTCATAGACTGACTGAATTTATGATGCTAAGCCTCCATAAACAGCATCCCAAAGACCATGGACCAGCTGCATCTATGCAAAATGATTTTCTTGGTTACACACATGTGTTACAGTGGTGTTATTTCCACATTCTAGTTCTGGTTATTCAGTGGGATTGGGGCAGTTCAATGCATTTCGCAGACCCAACCATTTCCGCTTTCTCACGAATGTATTCTATGACAATCACAGAAAAAAAACATAAGAGAATAAAGTCTATGGAAACAGGAGAAGAATTGTTTTATACAACAGTATATCAGCTAGTGCATACAAAAACTATATTATCATACATACAGTTATTGTCTGTCCATCAGTTTGCATTTCAGGTAAGACCATAAAACCTCCAACTGGAGAATGTGTCCAATAGACCCTGTTATCTCTGCAGACCCCATTGTTCACCCTGTTAAAAGATAACTATAGTTTGCATTTTCACTCCAGTTGCCTCCCCTAGTCATCTCCATGCCATTAAAGTGGAAATGTAGCATGGAAAGTGGAGAAAGCTGTTGCAATAATATATGTGCAGAATACATGCACACTATGGCAGACTTACCTCTGAGTTTGCTGCTCTCCAGCGCTGACAACTCTATAATCTCAGTCTGCCTGTCCCCGACCACTGCCATTTTCTCCTCTGCTTCCTCTGGGCCCAGCATCTTCTCTCTGGCCATTGGGCAGCCACTAACAATGTAACTCCCGCACATGAGCACTGTCGTTACATCTTCCCGACACTCAGCTCCATTCTCGGCATCTTACAGATGCTGGGGGTGTACACTGCACTACACACTAAAAACAATTGCAAGAAACAAGGGGTGGGATGTTTTTTTTGGCAGAATATATGTATATACAGTGTGTATGTATGTATGTATATCTATATATATAGCGATATATATATATATATA